GCTGGGGGCCACTAAATGACCGGAGGTCTGCTTAGTGGCCTGTCGTATCACTTGACTGGGAGATCATCCCCCTTCGCGTTGCGGTCGAATTTTCGTGCTGCGCAAAAATCGCCTCTGCAGGATTTGTCCAGAGTCCGCCGAGAGACCAGAGTTTATCCGAGGTCAGCTGTCAGACAGTAGACCGGGCCTATGTTTAACCCGAAGCTCTGCATGCCATTGGCAAATGCAGTCAATGCAAAACTAAGTTAGACGAGCTGCTACTCCGGTCACTCAGACGTAGCAGTTAGTTTACTGTCCGAAATCTGCTCATCGTGTTCACGGCCCGCCCTCCTCAACAACAGCAGGCCCGCGTACAGCGAGAGAGATACTGCAGAATTAAAGAGAAACACCCATCCAAAACCTTTGTCAGCTCCCCCGACGCACACATGCTACCGTACACGCCGTGCGCGGTCAGAACGGACATCACAGCATGTGAGCCAAGGAGAGGAGGCGCATCCTGCAGCTCGTCTTTGTTTATACAACAGACAGTGATGCGGCCGCTGAAGTTTCTGGGCGGAACCCTGAACATATTTTCCAGCTCGTCCTCTTAATGCCCTGATTTCATGAGCTACCGTCTCTTATTTACAGTACAATCTCCAGTGTTCTCAACCTAAACACTGTCTTACAACATGCAGTGGTGGTGCAATTAAAAGGCTGGAACAAATCTCACCATAACCTGAGGTAATGGACTATAAAGGACTGCTGGAAGAATTAGATCATGGAATTAATTCCTCAGTTAAATCAATAAAAACACTTTTATTTGAATGAGCAAACCTTTAAGGCTGTTTGATTATTTTAATCCTCATGGACAAAATCTGGCGTTGTAGCCTCCTACATCAAGCTTGTTTATTCCTATAACTTAGAATCACAGCAAATCATATTGATCTTGGCTGGTGATCAGTTTTTAGTCATTCTTGCAAACCGCAGCGCCATCTAGTGGAGGACAGTGACGAGTCAAAATGAGAAACAAGCACAAAAGAGCAACAACGCAGTGTATTAGGCTTCCGTGCGGGGATGCTGCGGTCACATCATGCTATTTCTGTTTAAACGATGTGTCGGCCACCACACGACTCCCTCAGATCCACTGTGCAGCTGTAACACCGAGTCAACGCAATGATGTGATGAAACTGCATGATTGTGACATGTAATTAACCTTAGGTGAATGTGGTTTGCACAGTTTAATCTTTATGATAATCTTGTGGAAAGCAATATACACATGAAGACGATAAAGAATCTTGTGCTTTAATTACAAATCCTTTTTACGGCAGACATCTTGACTCATCATAGTAAAAATAGCTACCAATGACCTTAAAGATGGCTCCATTCCTGTACACCATCACCACACGCACAATTTCCTACAGTGACATGTCTAAATGTCTTCTGTGAGAAAGACTTAGTGTATCTAGTGAAAGTCTTCATGAGAATCTAAGTGACAGCAAAGAGAGGGAGAGTCTTTATTATGAAACGTGGTAGAAAAAAATGTATTTAGGCAAAAATCCAGAAACGGATTAATAAAGGGAAAACATTAGATCTCAAGACTCAGGAGTAGGCAGAGGCAACTGGTCAGGGTTAGGGTCAGGTTGGGGTCAGAGCATCCATCCATCCATCCATTTTCCTCTTATTCGGGACCGGGTCGCGGGGGCAACAGTTTAAGCAAAGATGCCCAGACTTCCCTCTCTCCAGACACTTCCTCCAGCTCCTCCGGGGGAATGCCAAGGCGTGCCGAGAGACATAGTCCCTCCAGCATGTCCTGGGTCTTCCCCGGGGCCTCCTCCCGGTGGGAGGCCTGGAACACCTTCCTAGGAAGGCGCCCAGGAGGCATCCGAAACAGATGCCCGAGCCACCTCAGCTGGCTCCTCTCGATGTGGAGGAGCAGCGGTTCTACTCTGAGCTCCTCCTGGGCGACCAAGCTCCTCACCCTATCTCTAAGGGTGCACCCGGCCGCCCTGCGGAGAAAGCTCATTTCGGCCGCCTGTATCCGGGATCTTGCCCTTTCGGTCATGACCCAAAGTTCATGACCATAGGTGAGGGGGTCAGAGCACTGGGATCTAATAGGAACCGTCAAACCAAGAGCCTCCCAGACACTGTAATGTTATTTTTAAAGGAATATATCTTTGTTGGATTCATCAGTGATGATCCATTATCTGAAGTCTCTACTTTATCAGTGTTTAGAGTCACCAGTGTTTTATTATACTCAGCAGTTCTTTGATGAAAACTGAATCCATTTCCCCTTTCTTAGAAGAAGTGTTACATAAAACTGACAGTGTATACAATAATGCTATTTAGCATGTAGACAGACAGACAGATACTCTAAGTGATCAGTGAGGCGTTAATCAAAGTTTTCAGCTCCAGTGCTTATCTTATTTATTATAAATAAAAACAACAGAAACTATTAGATTTGTAAAAATGCGACTGATGCTTCACAGTGTTGATAACAGCCATTTTGAGGGTAAAGGAGTAAATACAAATAAACACTCACATTCAGAACAGCAACACAATGACATAAGCCAACTGTTTCCAGCTTTCTGTGGCACTTTTCTACTTGGCTTTTTAAAAAGAGACGTGGTATTTTAAGAACACCTCACACAATAACTGTACTTTATAATACACATTTACACAGCACTGTCGACGTGGCAAACTGACCCAATAAATCTGGTACATTCAAATGTAGGAAACAGTACCATGGAGTGAAGTTATCAAGTGCCAAAAAAAACCCCAAACACAAATCTAAAGAATAAAAATCGTTACATTCTGGTCAAGAGCTTAAGGGCTTTTCACTATAGGGCAGCTAAAAGTGCAAATAAGAGCGTTCCACTTGGGTCAAAAGATAATTGTTCTGTCCTTATGAAGAAACTTCAGCTTTGTAAACAACCCACATTACATGATTTCTGACAGCCTGTTTTACCACTTTACACTGTGGAGGTCTTCTAACAGGTTTAAGGCATTAATATGTGGCAGTTACCTTAAGTTTTAACGTCCATCCATCCCGACACAAAAGGTCTGTAGAGAGTGTTTGTAAAATATAATTGATTCTGCTTGGACAGACAAACTATTGCAGTTGTCTTCCTGTGGGTCTTTTGGCGTTGGGCTCTCTAAAAGCTTTTATGACAGTGCATTAAACAGTTGCAGACACTGGAATGAAAACAAAAGTCTGTTTTGTGTTTTCAAGTTTTTTTCTTCAAATCGGTGCTATATAAGTAGAAGTGGTTCATTATATGGGACAAGTATCAGCATTATATCACTGCCACATCCAGTGCTGTAAGCTTTGCAGATGTGAGGAGTCACTTCCAGCATCCAGCCGTTAATAACTATGACTTTAAGAGAAGCAAACCTTTGGTTGAAGTTGCACTGGAAAGCATATTAAGTAATGAGCCTGTGAATGTAACACTAAAGGTGTTTGTGTGCCTAATTTTATAGGTGTTCTGCAATATGCTACACATTTTGTTTTAATTGCATACCCAGAGTTCTGCTGTAGGAAGTTCAGCACAGACCAGCCTCGACCAAAACATCGGTCAGGCCAAGCTGCGTTTGAGGAAAATGCACTTTTCGTTTTAAGAAATAAACCTTGAGATGTCAAAATTGGCTCAAATGGAGACAAAAGTGGGGATGCAAAGAGCAAGACTACACGAAACAAAGCATGACTTTCTCAGAGGCACTCCTGTAGAAGGGATGCAAGTAAAGGTGCTTCGCCGGTGAAACGTTAAAAGCTTCTCTCCATGATGCAGGTGACAGAGGGTAAAGTCTCAGTGATAGATCTGAGTCTCAAACTGGGGCGACATTAACACAATAAGCTTCCTGATTATCTCAAAGTGTGCAAAAATAAAAAAATAAATAAACAAACAGGTGCCCCAAACAACCTCCTTGTAATGACTCCATTACAAAAAATGATAATCAACAGAAATATTCCACTGATAGTGACAGAACTGCTCAAAAGATCAAACCATAAAAATAGCAAATGGAAGACAAACTGTGTTAAATTTAAAACGCACTTTAAGAGTCGGATCTTGACTAACCAAAATTTTAGGTATAAAAATGGCAATAAAGCTATAAAACTATTGAAAAAGAGGATTGTAGTTATATTCTGCACAATAAACTTCTTCTGGAATGTTTTCACTGTGTAAAGTGACAGGATAAGGTCAGTGTTTTGGGATATGTTGTTGTACAGCTACATTTCAGGCATTTTGTTCTTAATTCCCCCTTTAACTTCAGTCCGACTGGCCGTTCTGGCAGCCTTTTAAATACAGTTCATCCTGCGACAGATGTCCTTCGAAGCCGTCCATATAGAGGCTGGGCGGGGCTGCTGCGCCCTGCCCATGAACGTGCCGACCGCGCGGCCCTGACGAGCGTGACCCACGGCGTCGCTGAACACTTTGTTGATCTGCTCCTCTGAGGGCATCCACCAGTCGGGGTTTGAGGCACAGTGCATCCGGATGAACTCTGGCAAGAAGATTTTTGTACCGAGAAAAAGATTTTAAAAACATTTTGAATGACTGAAAATCAAAGCAAGCTTTGATTAGCACCAGGGCTTGAAAGGAATGAGGTTCTGTGGGTGACACATATGGCCTTTTTACATTGATTTCACTGCTGAATCTGATTTGTAACCTAATGAAAATATCACTGTGGATTCAAAAGGACAGTCTCAGGTCACATTCACATTACAGCCACTGATGCTTGATCTTATATCTGTGAATAGACCTGAGCTTTCTGCCCTTAAAGCAGCTTTAATCAATGTTTATCTGTCTATCTATTTTGATTCACTCTCTCTGCCCATGACCTTTGGCTGCAGCAGGCAGCTGCTTTCATCAATCAACCTCTAAAAACTCACTGTACACCTCTGGCTCAGGACACAGCAGCAAACACAATGCTAAGTGACTAGCTGAACATTTAGCAGCTAAAGAATTTGCTATTTCCCTAAGGAGCCGTGGAGGCTGGAGCCAATCCCTGTCAACCCTGTGGGAGAGGAGGGGCACTGGACAGGTCACCCGTCTATCACAGGGCTGATACACAAAGACACACAACCATCCATACTCACATTCACACCCACAGAGTCACCAATTAACCTACAGTAACCTGCATGACATTTGGAAACCCACAATGGAAGAACATGCAAAATCCACACACAGTCCACCCTCGACTGTGAGGTTCAAATCCAGAACCTTTTTGCCGTGAGGCGACAGTACTGACCACTGCACCACAAAGCCGGCAAGTTGTCCATATCAATATAAATGATGACACGTCAATGTTCAAAATTTTGTTTCTGCTGTCTAAAGAAAAATCAGGTAGTCTGGTGCAGGTTTAAAATGACAAATCATGTGGACAACAACACATGTGACAGTTCAAAGTGGAAATGAATGAGATAGCTGTGCCAACTTGAAGCTCAAGGACAGGGGACAAGAGGATGAGGATGACAAAACAAACACTGACGCTATAAGCAGATAGTTGCTGTTTCTGTGTTTATAAAAGTCAATGAATAATTAATGCACGTTAAACTTTATCATGCAGGACGGAGGCAGACTGTAAATCCCCTCTCAGGCTGTGTACCTCTGAGGCAGCTGACTTTGACGGGGTTGAGCGGGCGTCTCTCCAGGCCCGGCTCTCCTGAGTGGACTGAACGCTTCCTTTTGCCCAAACCACAGGAGAATTTGAGCTCGTCTGTGGTGAAGACGTAGCGGATCAGGTAGCGCAGCAGTCGTCTGCCGTCTTTCTTAGATGAGTTGACAGCCTCATCCCACTGTTTATTAGTGATAAAGAGGGGATAGTTCTCCAGCAGCTGTTTACTGCCCTGCAGGGGAGAAGACAGAGGGGGTAATGCTCTGAGGGGGTTCAGCTATATTTGCAGCCTTATGCACCATAGTTTTAGTTTATCTACTTATTTGAATTGCTCAACTTTGACAGAATTTTCTTAGGTATGCCATCTTTAAAATGACTTTAAACCATTTATATGTTGCTTATTTCACTAATGTAATGGTTGACTGTTCTTTCAGGATGTAGAGCAGCAGCTCAAGTCAATTTCACTAATGTGTCACCACTTTCTGAAATTACACCTCTGTACACAAAAAAACCCTTAATATCTTGTTAAAACAGAAATTTTAATAGACTTAAATAAAAACACAAACCTCAAAGACTGTTTGTCGTTCTTCTTCCTGTAGAAACAGAGCTTAACTTTAACTTCTGGTTTTCACACCACTTATCTTTTACAATTACCAGCATGGAGACAGTTTATATTTTTACACCTTAACATACGCTTTGGAAACAGGTGCTTTAAATAGCTGTGAATGTTGTACAGGAACCTGTTTCCTCACCTCGGTAAGCTGCTCCTCCGGCATCGGCTGAACCAGCTGGTTGTGAAACTCAAGAACAGTCTTGAAGTAGTCAAGAACATTTTGGCAGGGAACTGTATGAAAAACACAAGCTGATGTGACCAGTGTTACAAACAACAAGACAACCCATCTGGTGGATAATTAAACAATCCTGCATTATTTCCATTCCTCCTGTAAACATTAGTTTGACTCTGTCTGGTAGTTCTGAGATTAATTTAAGATACTACACTGTATACATTACTTAATGTGTACTCACACAATGAGCCATTTTTGTTTAAATTAGGTTAGTGTGACACTAAGAAGCTGAAAAATAAAAATAGATGCTATTAAGACTGTTACCCAAAACTCCGTGTTGCATTTAGACACCAAGTCCCTGTAACTGTCTGAAAGTGGCAGCACACACAACCTTGAAGGAAAAGTCTGGTGATATTCCATATTATGAATAAATTCAAAGACCAAAACAACCCACGAACTGATCTTATAACTGTCTAAAACAAGCTACTGTTGTACAAAAATTATTTAAAGGACACAACTGTGCACACTGGCTGGCAAGTGTCTTCATCAGCTGGCAATCAGCGCTTGTTTTATTTTATACTTTATCTTCTTTTATCTTTCTTCTATTATTTTAATTTGCATCTTTGTCTTTAATACATATGTTTAAAGCACTTTGATTTTCATTTGCGTATGAAAAAAACCTGCCTTGCCTCTTAAAACACCAAAGGAGGGAAAATATAGTGATAAAAACCTGAAATACCAAACACCTTACTGAGATATCTGACATTTAACCTCCCCCCCTCCCCATCTGTATTAATACTAGTTTTAAATACAGCCACAGCTCCTGTTGTAATGTCTAGATTCCAAACCCTGTCATTATTGCACCTGGGATGTTCTCAAGCTTGTTCCGGAGCTCCTCGTTCTCCTGCTGGAGAGACAGCACCTCCTGCTCCAGCTCCAGGCAACGTGGACAGCAGCTCTCCTCCTCCTCTTCCTCCTCAGGCAGCGTGGACGACGGGTGGCCATATGACTCGGACGGAGTCGGCGAGCCCCAGCCTCCCAGGTTGTGTCTTGGAGGAGACACCCCTGAACCGGTCTCCGCTGTTGTACACTGCTCGTCCTCCACACCTGCACCCAGGTGCTGTTGCTGGGGCCCTGAGAGGAGATAGTTCTGCAGGGAGTCTGTGAAGATGCGGAGAACAGCAGAGGTCTGTTGTTGGTTTAGATGGCTTTGTTGGGCCTCCTCTGGGTCTGTGGTGGAAGAGCTCTCTTCATGTTTGGACTTCCCCAGTGAGGAGCAGTGAAGCCCCTGAGCATCCCCTGGCCCATCTTCCACCTTAATGTTAGAGGTGAAGGAGGAGGAGGAAGGCTCCAGGAGACGGCCATTATTGAGGAGGCTGAGCACTCGACTGCACTGCTGGGCAAAGGCGTCCAAAATGAGACGGTTCTCTGCAGCAGAGGGAGGAAACATCATGAGGTCCGAGCTGACGGTGATGAACTTTCACATCCACCAGTCACTGTATAATCAGGATTCTACCGGCTCAGTACGCTGATCATATATTTGTGGTTCAAATTGAAAGGTTCAAATGTGACCTTAAAAACAGCAGCTGCTCGTCTCAAGGTCCATTTAGTAGCAGTTCTGGAGCTTTTGACTGTATCACAAGGTCTTCATTATCAGAGAGAGTTTGCTCAATTGCCATGAGCAGAAATAAGAAGTGAAAAGGAGGCTAAACGAAACAAAACCAGCTTCGCACAAAAATACTGAATCACTCATTGCTTCCTAATTGTGGAATGAATAATGTCTATTATTAAGCATCTACAATTTCATGGCAATTAAGCAAACTATCTGCTGATGAGGACTGTGTGGTGCGACTGAAAGCTCCAGAACTAAATGGACCTTAACTGAAAACTGTTTTGTCAAGTGACTCGGTTTTCTTTGTTGGCTTTAACAGGTATTATTAACTGCACTGAAAAAGTGGTGAAAGAAGTACTCACACCCCGTACCTAAATGCTACTTAGAGTACTGTTATAAAAATGACGTTATTCAACATGATTTATGCTATTTAATATGTTTTAAACTTTCAGAACAGAGCCATGCCACAAACTGAATGTGTAAGCCTGAAGGACATTTCCTATCTTTCATATGAAACTCTGTGTGCTGTGATACACTCGACTACACACTGTTCCAGACAAAGTGAGACACAACTGTCAACTGCAGGATAAACATGTGTCCCAGTATGATTAGCTTCTGAGTCGCGCTATCAGGGTGTGTCCGTTTACTATATATTATGTTGTATGAACCTACCTCACTCAGACAACTCTATTGCCATTGTCTCATTGTGCTGACTTGTCTCCTTGCTGCAAGAAAGTAAACTGTTCAAACGATTCCAGTGACTTCGTTGCTTTATTAGGGAAATTCTCATAACAAATAGCCATCACTGTACCTGTAATAGTGATTTAATAATGTGTCTGTTTACTTTTGACACTTAAAAGGACATTGTGCTTGTAATAGTTATGCACTTTTACTTAAGTGGGATTTTGAGTGAAGGACATTTAGTTGTAGCGGAGTATTTTTACATAGTTCTCCTTAACTACTGTAGCTGGAGCTAATTCTAACCACTGGCCAAATGATTCAATTGTGTAGTTCAGTGGTTCCCAACATAGGGAGTGGGGCACTTCCAAAGGGTCACAAGATAAATCTGAGGGGTCCTGTGCTGATAAATGGAGCAGAGAAGAAGAAAGTTTTGTTACACTTTAAGCATTAATCTTTGCTTTTACTGTGAGATGCTGTAAGTCCCAACCAGAGACTGATTATTATTGTGCTCTTTTGGCTAATTCTTTAGTAAGGAGTTGTATCTTATGTGTATTTGATGGTAAAATCTTAACCTGCTAAGGAACCAGTAACCCTCACTACCAAACAAATGTAGAGAACACTGTTTTATATTTCCCTCTGAAATGTAGTGGAGCAGAAATATGAAGCAGCAAAACATGCAAACACTCAAGAAAAGTAAGAATACATGAGTAAAGTGAACTCACCACCACTGCTGAAACATAATGTTTCACTGTACAGGGAAACACATTTCCTTACTGTGCACATGACAGTAAACACTTTCATTTCACTTAGTCTCCTATGGAAACAGTACGAGTGATTTTGTGCTTCACTGTTCTTTCTGCCTCCTCCTTCTTGCTTTCTTGTTGTGACAAATCTTTCTATTACAGTAGCAGAGAGTACAGTAGGCCCCTCTGTTTATACAAAGCTTGATTATGCTGATTTATTCAGATGTCAATAAACTCTGAACTCAAAATATCTGCTGCAACCAAAGCTGAGCAAATAAAATCAGCACAGAAAGACACCTCAGTGCATAGTTTCTCTGGTAGTCCGGGCATGTTTCAGCGGGATGATCTCACACATCCCTCCGTGTAATGATTATAAGCCCGTTGGCCGCACACAGACACACACAAATAAGCACACAGACAAAATGAGTTCTATGTGGCCACTGCTGCGTTGTCGCTCTCTCAAACGTGTCTATCAGCCTGGCGCAGATGTGTTGCGTTTATTAATATGCGTGCTGTCTCTGTTTACCCGTCAAGATGTATTTGATATAATTCGCCTTCACCCTGCACCCCACCCCCACCCTCCTCTCCTCTCCTCTCTCACCAGTTCTGTGGCACCGTGAGCTGAGAGCCTCATAAAATTTCATTAAAAACAACACGCTCGGCAGAAGCAAATTTATGAGCCCCATTTATTTTAATCACAACTCTTTGGGAAAGGCTTTGCAATGCAATTTGTGTTATTGTGTGCTGAACTTATTGTTGAGTCCCTGGGTCTCTAGTGCTTCTCCTCGTGAGAAGGACATCAAGTTTATTTTTTATTTATTTTGATTTTTTTTTTTTTTAGCCATGAGCATTAAATTGTTCCCATCATTGCTGATAAATGCACGTTGATGTGTCATTATCACCAAGAACGCAGGGTGTGTTTAGTTGGGACTGGATGGTGCATTTTGTGCAATATGGGCAAATTTATTACAGCAGGAAAAATGTGATTTGTTCTAACTAGTGACACCTAAGATTTATACTGGCAAGGAATCAGGCTGGCCTACATAAATACAAGTGGGTTAAAGATATGATGCTAAATCATTAATACACACATTTGGCAATTCACGTGTCTGTGAGCTACAGTGCAACCTGAGCTCTGTCTTGATTATAAAGCTGTACAGCAACGATAACCAGCAGCTAATTGAGCTACAGTGATAAAGAGATTCAGATTTGATTAGAGGATAAGATGCCTAATGTTTAATTTCATAACTGCCAGGATTAGGTTCATTGCTTTCATCTTAATATTGGCTCCCAGGGACCCGCCCTCCACACCAGAACACATTTCATCCTGTACAGCCTTTAATGAACAGCAGCTGAGGAGAAAAATGGACAGGGAACAATGTACTTCAACAGGAGACTGTGAGGGCCCTTCTTGTGCACACACAAACACACAGGACTGACAATTACCCAGTGTAATTTTTTCAGATGCACACTGGAGATTCAATCATGACTGCTCTCATTACAGCAGCAAATCAATCACCACTGACTGAAAGAGAAAGAGAAAGAAATGGGAACAAAAACATGAAGCTCAGGTGATGTGGAGCCAGCCATAAAGGTGCTGGCTTTTAATGGGATTTGTATCTTCCATTCAAGTTCACTGACTCTGTAGAGGTTTAATACTAATAGGATATCTCTGGGCGGCACAACCCAAACAAAATATGGGCTACACCAGAATCCGGACAAGCTGAAGACATGTGGATCAGAAAAGTCCAGTCTTCGCAAATAGTGAATAAAAACATACAATAAGAGATGGAGCAGACCTTCAGGTGTGTCCAGGAGCGACTCTCATCACTCACTGAATAAGTTTTAAACCCACCTGAGCTGATGCCGTAGGTGCAGTCTGGAGAGAACCTGGGCTCCGCTCCGCCGCTGCTGCCGCTTCGCTGCTGGGCACCGAGCGATGCTGCCGGCGCCCCTGCCTGCTGCTGGGCCTGCTCTCACATGGGAAACGATGCTGCTGTTGAGGCGTGGGGTGATGCTGCTGACTGCTGCTGATAGCGACGCTGCTTTGGTGGAGCTGCTGCAGACGCTGGTGGTGATGGTGTGGCTGGAAAGGATGAGGCTGCTCGGGCTGAAAAGTGAAATGATGTCCGTCGCCAAACAGAGGCACGTCGACAACAGCAGACCTGTCAAAGCGCGACTTGCCCGCCGAGCGCTTGCTCTGGAAGGTTTTGAGGGTGCTGTACGGACTCCGTTGTTGTCGGCACATCTTCGGGGCGCAGGGCCCTTCGTCTGCGGGCTGCATCTCTCCCTCCATCCCGGCCAGGTGTCACAGCGCGGCGGATGGCGACGGGTTGTTATTGTGGCGTGCCGGTGTGACAGGCAGCTGATAAGTGGGAAGATCAGATCCGTCACTGTCTGGCTCGGTTTCCCTCATACACGCAGTGTGAAGGGTGGCCTAATTTACTGACAAGCCGCCGCTCCAATCCCCAGTCGGGAGCGCCGACGCTGAGACACCTCCAGAGGGAAATACAGGCGGGACTGGGGTGTTGTGCGCCGCTGCCTGCCTCCTTTGTAACCCACATCCACTCAGAGAACAACGGGGCTCAGTAGCAGTTGTACAACTGAAAACCAAAAAAACGCACAGCAAAAACCTAAAAAAGAAAAGAAACGACAGAGGCCATTTTGGTTATCGAGCTAAAAGCATCAATAAACGCGACATGAGCGCACATGGAAGAAAATGCTTCCTACAGCCAACCACAGGAGCCCACCATGAGGAAACGGCCATACACATTTGTGGGTATTATTCATTTATGATTTCTTAAAATAATGATTCATAATAACCTAGCAAAATAAGAAAAATAAGCGTTGGACAGCCTTCCACACGCATCTAGTTTTTATTAATTTGATCTAAGGCAAAAAAATAACAATATTTAGGCCTAATCTTCAGCAAATTACTCAAAAAGCCACATGTTCAGTCTTAATTGACCTTATGTGTGAAATCTTCCTTTAAAGAGCTAAAAGTTTGCGTCGCCGCATGGGGGCGCCACATCAATAGGCTACAAACAGGACAAAAATTCAGACGAGTTCATGACCAACTACATGTTTGTCTCTCTCCCCCCTTTTCCGCGGGTCAGACACCACTGAAAAATAAAAGTTATAGAGGTGAAAACCTTTAAAATGGGATTATCATAAACTTTATCATAAAACTAGAACGAACCCAGTCGGTGGGTTTGTACAAACCTTCCTCTAGTTGAATTATGCTTACATTTATTGGAAGAAAGAGCTCAGATCCTTAAATAAAAGTAGCGGAACCACAGTGTGGGAAAAGTCCTGCGTTCAAAATGTTACTTAAGTAATAATAATTAAAGTACTGGCCTCATAGGCCTAATGCTTGGCCTGCACGAAGAACAGCCTAACCCAGACAATGGACGCACACGCATGGGCACCTTTACAGCTGCAGGTCACTGCAACCACAGGGACCACCGCGCCACGCGAACGCGCACGTGTGGTTGCTGGATGTTACGTGCGCGCGTACAAAACCCGAGTCACAAAAGCAGCAAATGTTCAGTGAGGTGGGTGCACAACGTCTGCAGGAACATCAACAGGCGGTCACAGGAGCAGCTCGAGTAAGAGGGAAAACAGAGGAAGCGCGTTTGGCTTCGCTCTGGTGGTTAATCTTCTTCCTGTGTGGATGAGGAGAAAGTTCAATAATGATGTTTTAAAAAGTGAGTGTTCACTTCAGGAGGATCCAAGTAAGGATTTCCTCACGTTTGAATTAGGCTGAAAGCGGTTTGGATGCTGTAAAGATGACGGTGACATAACTTTAGGTCTTTGGATCAATTCGCCGAGTTTCCATTTCAGTAAATTAATCTCCATGAAGAGTCTCAAAGCCGGACTGACGCATTCGGTGGTCGGAAGCTGAAGCTGCACAGGACGTAGGGAACCGTGAACCCCCGCAGCCTGCCGGGATGGTGCGCCTGCTTAGCTGCCTGCTCCTGGGATATCTGACCTGGAATCTGCGCATATCGGACGCACAGGGGGAGTATTGCCACGGCTGGTTGGACGCTAATGGGAATTATCACGATGGTTTCCAATGCCCGGAGGACTTTGACACCATGGACGCCACCGTGTGCTGCGGCTCCTGCTCGCTGCGCTACTGTTGCGCGGCCACGGACGCACGGCTGGACCAGGGCAGCTGCACGAACGACAGGGAGGTGGACAACACCGAGTTTGCAGCGCGTAAGTTGAGTGTTTTTAAACTCTCTTCTGGTTCATAGTTTTATTTTAAGACTTCCTTTAAACTGCTCTCCTCATGTGCATTAGTCTAATTTATGGCATGTTTAGTTCAGTCAAAGTGAACTACAGGAAAACTGCTTTCTACAGAGGTCAGAGGTCAGCAGAGGTTGTGGGACTTTCCAACACAACACAACACAACATGTTAATGACTTCATATTATGTGTCAAAGTGTCAAAAGGTACAAGGAATTTGAGTTCCCAAAACAATGATCTTTGGAGAATAGAATATTTCTTAAAGATCCATTTTACTGGACTGGAGGTTTCCTTTCAACTGCCACTGTTATATATGTTTTCAACGCCTTAGGAAATGTGTACGTTTTAAAGTTTACATGCTTTTCCAACATAAATCAGCCAGAGTGTCCTGTTCCCAGTACTTGATCTGGACTCAGGTGGTGTAATTTGACCACAACTCACCACAGACTATGTAAAAAGGCAAACTAGAGCAGTTTTGGTGACAGTCTGTCGGCCACTCAACAAAAATAAAACATTCTTTTACAAATCTTTAAACAAATTAGTACAAAACTTAATCAGATGAACTGCTTCACAGTGTATGGAACACTTTCGCATACAGCTAGAGGCCTATTGTGCTGCCAGATGAGAAACACATTCACTTCAACAGTTCACTAATTTGCCAACCAAAGTAATCACAGCTTTATGAGACAGCAGATCTCTCTGACTCCTTTAAACATTTAACAGACCACTGGTTACGAAGCTTTTTGATCACTTTAACAGGAAGGTTTTGTCAGTTTTCTTTACATCTCCTGGAACTGCACGGACTGTGTGCATTCAGTTTCATAATTTGTTCCTATCAAAATAAATAAACTCAGTGATTTCAGAGTGGTGTGACTTGAGATGTTTATGTTTTAGCTGGGTTGTGTGTAAGGTTTTCCTCATAATGCTGTGCAGAATCTAACCCCCAATTTAGCATTTTGTAAAAACATTAATTAATGGTTTCTAACACTTCAGTGTAGTTGTAAACAGATGTATATATGTTTATTTGTGTATTGGTCAACAGTTACAGTGGCAACTGTAAGTGGAGGCTGGTGTCTAAACAGATTTAACACAATTGTAATAAAATAGTGTCCAAATAGAAGAACTTGCTGATGAATACTGTGAATTAATAAACATAAATGTCCCTATAGCTGGTTATATTTTCATTACAATGTTATAAACCATTTATTAAATGTTTATTTAGTCCTCAGAAATGCCAAATAGGTGCTTTAAAGTAAAGAGTTACCCAGTTAGAAATAAGTGTATTTTAATTTGATTAATTCAGTTTCATAATGTGTTGTTTTTGTGCCTGCAGGGCAGAAGACTAGTTACTACAAGCCTGTCAGGAGGTGCGCCCTCATTACTGACCCTAACCTGTCTGTGTGTCCTCTGCCCTCAGAGCCAGTCTACGTGCCCTTCCTGATGGTAGGGAGCATCTTCATTGCCTTTGTCATTGTTGGGTCTCTGGTTGCCATCTATTGCTGCACCTGCTTGCGGCCCAAGCAGCCGGCCCAGCAGCCCATTCGCCTTTCCCTGCACAGCTGTCAAGGTGAGACAATCCCTATGATCCTCACCGCCGCTCCCCAGAGCCTCCGCACCCCATCGCGACAGTCCAGCACAGCCACCACCAGCTCCAGCTCGGCCGGAGGCAGCAGCTCCATGCAGAGGTTTTCTCTCGGGGGTCAGGGACAGCAGCATGGCTGCCTGGTGTCTGCCACCGTTTCCTCGTCAGCCTCCACCCCTACCCAGGCCCCTCAGACTCTGCCTCCGCCTCCACCTCCGCCCTACACATCACCACCTACAAGCCTGTCAGGAGGCATTCAACACTTGCTGCCCTCATCGCACACCCAGCTGCAGCTCCACCAGCCCTCCGTATCTTCTCACCCTGCACAGGGTTCCGGGTTCCTCTTGCCTCAGCAGTACTTCTTCACTCTGCAGCCTGACGCCTTGACAGCTGCCAAAGGTTTTGCCGACTTCGGACAGAGCTGACAGGGCTTCGAGCAGAAGACAGAGAAAGAGTACAAGTGTTTTAACTGATGGGATGTGACCTAGTGAGGAAAAACATGCTGCAACACAGCTGATGGTGTTTGGATGGAGGTCCAGGCTGGCTGAAAGGACAGACTAAGCAGCAGGAGGACGAGGGACAAAATATGACCAAGCTGCCGTGGTTGAGCAATGTGGAATGAGGCCTTTCTCCCTCGGCAATACAGGACAAATCGGAGCTCAACAGATCTGTCAGGGGCAACAAGAGTTTGGAATCTTGTGCACTTTTATTTTATATTGTAAATACAACTCTGTAGCCTATATTTTGTTTTCTCTACATGCTGGTTTTCAAGGTGGCAGTTTACAATACAGACTACAATCCAGGTGACCTAACACATCTTCCTTAGAAAGAGAAACACTGTACAGGCAGACGGCTTCAACACTGACTCACTCTGAGACTGCTGAGCGTGCTTACATTTTTAGAGATATAGTAGATGTTGGAAACCAGGGAAATATTGTTTTCTGACAATCACAAAGACCTCTACAAGGACACTGTAATTTTGGAGCAAACTGATTTATACAAGATGCTGTACATGTTTCACACCCAGAGTTGTCATAATGATTCCCTAATTTACTGCAAATAAAATGTCTCTCAGTACCTTCTGTGCACTGATAAATGTAAAAGAATTGTTGAATAACACTTAAGTATTTTTTTTAAAAAGTGTCTCCTGAAAGAAGCCTCATCATCGCTCAGACAGAAAGGAAACCAGAGCGGCCGGGCCTGCACAGCAGCTCCTACCTGTCACTCATTCTTGC